AAACACTGTTAAAAGAAATAGAAGAAGACACAAAGAAATGGAAAGACATCCCCTGCTCATGGATTGGAAGAATAAACATTATTAAAATGGCCATCCTACCAAAAGCAATATACAGATTCAATGCTATTCCAATCAAAATCTCAATGGCATTCTTCAAAGAAATAGAACAATTATTGATGAAATTCATATGGAATCACCAAAAACCCCGAATAGCCAAAGCTCTACTGAAAAAAAAAGAAGGAAATGGAGGCATCACACTCCCAGACTTCAAACTATACTACAAAGCCATAATCATCAAAACTGCATGGTATTGGAACAAGAACAGACATACAGACCAATGGAATCGAATAGAAAGTCCAGAAATAAACCCACAGATTTATGGTCAACTAATCTTTGACAAAGGAGCAAAGACTATGCATTGGAGCAAAGAAAGTTTGTTCAATAAATGGTGCTGGGAAAACTGGGTCGCTACATGCAAAAGAATGAAGCTTGACCACTACCTCACACCATACACAAAAATCAACTCAAAATGGATTAAAGAACTAGACATAAGACCTGAAACTATAAAATACATAGAAGGAAATATAGGCGAAACACTACGGGATTTGCACATCAAAGACATCTTTACAGACACATCACCCAAAGCAGTGATAGTGAAGAGAAAGATCAACAGCTGGGACTACATCAAATTAAAGAGCTTCTGCACAGCAAAAGAGACAATAACAAAAACAAAGAGAAACCCCACCAACTGGGAGAACATTTTTGCACCCAACACTAATGATAAAGGACTGATCACAAAAATCTGCAAAGAGCTGATGAGACTCAGCAACAACAAAGAATATAATCCAGTCAAAAAATGGGCAGAAGAGCTAAAAAGAAACTTCTCTGAAGAGGAAATGCAAATGGCCAACAGACATATGAAAAAATGTTCAACATCACTTGTAATCAGGGAAATGCAAATCAAAACTACCATGAGATACCATCTCACACCAGTGAGAATGGCACATATTAAAAAAACTAGCAACAACAAATGTTGGCGAGGATGTGGAGAAAAAGGAACTCTTGTGCACTGTTGGTGGGAGTGCAAACTGGTCCAACCACTATGGAGAGCTGTGTGGAGATTTCTGGACCTACTAAACATAGAGCTTCCATATGATCCAGCAATTCCACTCCTAGGTATTTACCCAAAGGACACAGAAACATCAATTCCAAAGAGCACCTGCACTCCTATGTTTATAGCAGCACTGTTTACAATAGCTAAGCTTTGGAAACAACCCAAATGCCCAAAAATAGATGACTGGATCAAGAAGATGTGGTACATATATACCATGGAATATTACTCAGCATTCAAAAAAGATAAACACATGCAATTTGCAGCAACATGGATGGCACTGGAAGGGATCATGCTCAGCGAAATAAGCCAAAAAGAAAAAGAAAAATACCGGATGGTCTCACTCATAGCAGGAATCTAGAAAACTTAAATAAGGGACCAGGAAAATGAATATAAGAAAGTGAAAATCAAAATCAACAAAAAACTATGAACCAGAGACACTTTTTGGGGGGTGGGGGGCGGGAGGGGAAGGATTGGGGTCAGAATGGGGCATTTGCAATTGTATGGGGGAATATAAAAATAAAATTTAATATTTAAAAAAAAAAAAAAAAAAGAAAAGAAATTAAGTTCCATGACTAATATTCCTTGTCTAGTTATCATTTCCTTCTCTATTTTCAAAGATCTTGCCTAACAATTTTAAGTGCATTATCTTTCTCTGCCCTGTCACATTTCCTCATTCATTTTCATACTTTGTTAGAATTCAGTGATCCCTTAAGATTTTATATTCCAATCCACTTGTATCACTTTCTAAAATCACTAAAAACTTTATATTGCTGAACTTAGCCTTTTCACAAACCCCACTGTTTTTGTAGCAGTTTTCATCATTGACTGCCTTTTACTTCTTGAAACTCTTTCTCAATTCAAAAGAAATTGCATATTATTCTCTCTCTTCTTTCCTGAACCATCTTTCCCTCTCATTTACTCTCAGAATTCTCACTGTTTAGTCTTCTATTAACATTAAATATATAAATCTCAAGAAGACAGCTCCCCAGTGGCGCAGCGGTTGAGCGCTGGGTTGCGAAGCTGCCCGCAGCCTCTGCAGCTCCGCTGGTTCAATCCCCGGGTGAGAGTCCCACATGGCGCGCAGACCTCTCCTGCTGCCCACTGCTCCCCTCAGCAGTGTACTTCCTTCTGCTCCCCGCTCTGGCTCTGGTGAATTCTCTCACCCTCCCGCACTTCTGACTGTTCCCAGTGCTTGTATAAATAAATAAATACATCTTCAAAAAAAAAAAAAAAGACAACTCCTTTCAAAAGATCCTATAAACAGGTTGCTAAAGATCTCTAAATGGAATTCATACCAATAACTAAAATATAAGTTATCTAAAAGAAGCTCAAAATCTTATTATCATAGCAAGCTGAGCTTCTTGATAAAAGAGTATTCTTTCTGATAACAATGCCACTGTTTTCCTGGTTCTCTAGGATGAAAACCCAAATGTCATTTTCAAATTACTAGTAAGTCCTTGTGATTCCACTGCATAACTTTAATTCCCGTAAACCTAACAATTCAGGTTTGTGTCATTAAACTTATACTATGAAATAACTTCCTAACAGTCCATTCCATTTTCTCCTTTGATTTTCTAAATGTATACACTATTATTTTTATCATCACAGACAGCAGCTCAATTAGTTTTAGGTCCTTCATGAAAATCTAGGTAGATTCTTTTAACTTACTAGTAAAGTCCAAATTTTTCACTTAAGCAATCAAGGCCTTTCCTTAGTACAAGTGGAACATAACACTAATCAGATCACTCAGCCTAAATGCCTATATATTATCTATGAAACAAAATATAAATTTCAACATCACCCAGTTTGTAGACTCCTACCTTTATATGTTTACGTAGTATTCACTCTGGAAAATCTCCTACAATCTACCTGTTAAACCCTATTTGAATACTTTTTTAAGACCTCTTCAGAGAACTTAATCTCTCCTATTGAATATTTATAGCATTCTGCTTGTGATTCTCACATGGCATTTATAATGTATTGATTCTATACATTCAACAATATTTCATGAGTATGTATTATGAGCCAGGCAATATGGTGGATATCAGGTGTTAGGTATACAAGGTTCAATGGTTATATATGGATTCCTCCCCTCATAGAACCTATAATCTACTCAGGGAGAATATAGTTACTTGCACCTTACATTCATCCCCACTCTACTCCTTAAAGAGATTTAAAATGATTAAAAGCAAGAACTGTACACTGAATTTTCCATAGTACCATCACAGGACTTTCTTGAATTGAACTGAAAATATACCTTGTAGAAAATCATAACTATCATTGCACAGAAATAAACATATTTAGGTTAAGAAACAAGGGGCCCTAAAAATAAATTAGGGGGCCCAAAAACAATTTATTTTATGGGAACTTGGTATTTTATATATGAGCTAAGTGATTCTGCACAAAAATATAAACAGTGAAATATCTATTCCAAGAAAAAAAGTAGAAAAAGAATTTAACAAAGAAAAGGGGAAAAGAAATTGCCACTTAAGAAAGTCAACTTTTTTTTTTAACTGGTATACTATCACAACCTAGATCTGGTAAACAAAGTAGTCCCTACAGTGTTGTGAACTTACAGGGTACCAAAGAATGCCAAAAATCCATTCTTCTCCATAAAACAGAGTTGCAACTAAGAAAGAAAGATTACTTTTGCAACTGAGAAAGAAAGATTACTTAGCCTGGACCTACATTTTTCAAAAAAACCAAATCTTGGTTGGTCACATGACTTGTTTTCTCAATGAAATTTAAGTACCAATGATCTCTGTTACTTTTAAGTCAAAAGGTTGGTAATGTTATACAGATTAGCCTAACATGACAATATTTATTATACTAGAGAGCATTCTGATATTGTTAAACATTCAGGGGGCAAACACAACTGTTTTTCCAGAACTGACTAAAATGTTACTTCTAAAATTTTGCCTTAGAAAATGCAACACTGGAGAAGGTATGAATTTCAAATTTATGAATCAATATTCCAATTTATAAAGTGTTCATATGTGTGCAGTAATGGAAAAATAATTGAATCTTTTACCCAAGTTAACCTCCACTTTAGTCCTTTAAAGAAAACAACTTTATAAGAATAACAAACCTTAGATCAAAGTTTTCATGACCCTTTAATGGGCCAGGAAGGAAAACAGAATCAAAAGTCAGAAGAGCATAGTTGAAAAAAATGAACCTCTATTTAACCCAGAAAAACTATAGATAATTAACCCACAATGAGCAATTAGGTATAAAGTGAATTTAAATATTATATCATGATTAGACCATTCTTACAGTAAATTTCTTTTACCTTTATTTTTAATATTTATACCTTGAAAGTGATTCTTGAAATCAGTGACCACATGAAATTCTGCAGGAATAATTTATAGTTTCATATACGTATACATACATTTAAATATTTATGGATTTATATGTTATATATTTATATATTCATAGTTATTTATATATCTATAAAATTACGGTAATTACATAATTTGCTCATTATACCTAAGATAGGCTTACATTAATTCAAAAAGGTAAGTTGTCAAAAGATGAAACAGTATCACAATTATTGCTCATCTTTTCTAAAAATGAAATCATCTGAATATTTACAAGTTTTAGAAGTGAATTATAACCATTAATAATTAAAGACAAAATTCAAGAAAAGTTATAAAACTATAACTATTTCAAGATTTTAATGTACACATGACATAGTCTAATTAGAAAAAAATAAGCTACAAGCAAAGCATAATAATGAAAAAATATGACATAGTTCCAATATAGTACTGATGTGACATAATTACACTGATAGTTTAATACAAATTAATTGCAAAAATAATTTAAGTAACTGTAAAGCTCTACTAACTGAAACGAAGTAATTTTTAGTATTTTCTATTGTAAAACCAACCTGTTCCAATTCTTGAATTTTAGCATCCTTGACTTGCAGAATTTCTAAAACTTTTCTGTCTTTAGCTTCAGATTTCTGTTTTTCTCTAGAAATAAAACATACAATTACTGAGACTTTATTAGCCATTGGTAGCTTAATACTTTAAATTTTCATATCCTGATAATAATGTCACTTTAAAATACAGAAAATTAAATTATCTGGAGTTGACAGCCCTTTCAGAATTAATCAGAGCCATATGGCAAGTGACAACTTAAAACTGCTGACAACTTAGACAACTTCATACAAAAAGAACAATTTAGTTGCCAGATTCAAATAATTAAAAATACTTAAAATGTGTTAATTTTGTCTGCAATGACCATTATGTCATTAATTTACAATAATTAACAAATGAGTAAATGTGTGCTTGTTAACATGAACACTTTATATACACAAATTATGTAAGGAGTAAAATATTTAGCATTAAGTAAAAGACTCAGAAAAGAGAACTAACATTTACAAGTAATCAACATCCTATGAATCAATTTTTCTGATTCCTTCCTAAACATTTCTAGTTTCTGAGAATATTACTAACTACACTAAATGGTAACTGGATAATCAAAGCACAATTATTTTAAGTCTTCTTAAAATAAAATACACAGAAATTTGTGCCTAAACAACTCATGAATCAGAGTGTACAAGTAAGGAAAAAGAAAGAAGGAAAGAATCCTCACTCAAAAAAGAGGAAAATGAAGCGAAAGAACTCCAAAAGCACAGGGCATACAAGACAGAAGGAACACCAGTTGGAAAAGCATGCCACTGTTTATAAAAGGTAACTTCAAATGGTGTAACAGCAGATAGAAAAGATTTAAATTAGACTTCCATTAAGTTAGCCAAGTAAGTTCACACTTTCAGGTCCTTTTCGTCTAAATGTATAGTATTAACAGAAAATCAGAAAAGAAAGAAGAAACACAGGCACATCTCTGAGGGATGCAAATCAAACTAAAACACTAAACTATGAGCCAGGATCCAGGGGATAACAGAGAATAAAAGTGACTTATTCAGTATGTAGAAGCATAACCAGGCTCATTGTTTGAAATCAGAGGCTAGGGTGAGGCTCTCAACCACTGCAGATAGCACTTGCCTGGTACCAAGGTTTATATTAAAGTTCTAGAAAGGCAAAATTTTATAGATAAAACATACCAGTCAGAAGCTGAGCCAAAACACACTCTATAGCTCAGAAACTGAATACAGTAAATATCTAGTATCTCTGCTGGTTAACAGCCTCAAGCTATAAATATAAAACCTATTTCAATATGGGGAAATGGAATACAGGTGACAATTTAGTGGTAAATATGAAATTCTGTAAAGGCAGCATGAGAAAAAAAGGGGTAGTGGGGGTTAAGGGACAAAGAGAACAATAGCAACAACCCGTCATTCAAGATGTGATCATAAACAAAAAATTCCACATAAAGAAAACATCAACTCCAAATACTTATATAACACATATACACACTAACTCAATAATCCAAAGAATCAGTCATTCTAGACAAAAATAACAAACTGAAAGACATTAAAATAAATAAGGAAGTTTAAAAAAATAAAAGAATAACATTAGTAAGAAAAACAAGAACAGGTGGATCTAAAATTATCTACTTAATACCCTGAAAATAAATTTATATTATAATCACTAAAACAAAAAAAAAATAAATGGGTTAAGCTCAAAAAGATAAGTAGTAGTGAAAAAGAACATAGCAATGAGGGGTTCACGTAGAACACTGTTTAGAAAAGCAATGAAATTAAAAATATGGAAACAAAAAATGTAGATTTCACTGGAAAACTCCGATGTACACCTAAAGAGTTCCAAAAGCAAATTTTATTTGTTTGACATATACTCTAGTTTATTTATTTTTATATGTATATTTTATATCATTCTTGTTTTTGTACAATACATGCTTTCACCTTTCTGATGTAGTGCCCATAACATTCCCACCACCAATTTACCCATGCACCATCACCATAGTCCCCTGTGTTCTTCCCTCCCCTGTTTTGGTCCCTCTATCTCCCCCATGCCATGTAGTGTCTTTGATTAATAATTGCCTGTTAAATTTGTTTTTTTAATTTATTATAATTATTTTTTCCTGATCCCTAATTTGGTTCCCCTACATTCCTCCTATAAGTGAAACCACCTGATATTTTTCTTTTTCCTTCTTGCGTATTTTACTGCACATAATCCCTTCCAGTTCCATCCATGTTGCTGTGAATGTCACAAGTTTATCTATTTTGATTGCTGACTAATATTCCATTGTGTATATAAACCACATCATCTTTATCCAGTCATCTATTTTTGGGCACTTGGGTTGTTTCCATAGCTTACCAATTGTAAAGAGTGCTACAATACACAAAGGGGTGCAAGTGTCCTTTTTAATTAATGTTTTTGTGTCTGTTGGTTAGATTTCCAAGAGTGGAATTGCTGGGTCATATGGTAGCTCCATTTTTAGTAGTTTTGAGGAACTACACAGCTTTCCAAACAGCTTTCCATAATAGTTGTACCATTTTGCATCCCCACCAACAGTGTAGATTTCCTTTTACTCCACATCCTCGCCAACATTTGTTGTTCCTGTTTTTTTTTTTAATATGTACCATTCTCACTGGTGTAAGGAGGTATCTCATTGTGGTTTTGATTTGCATTTCCCTGATTATAAGTCATGTTGAACATTTTTTCATATATTTATTGGCAATTTGCATTTCTTAATTCGAGAAGTATCTCTTTAGATCTCCTGTTCATTTTTTCACTGGATTGTTTACTTTGCTTTTGTTGAGCTGTGTTAGCTCTTTGTAGATCTTTGTTTTTAGTCCCTTATCAGTAGTATTGTGTGAAAAAAATTTTCTCCCAATCAGTAGGGTGTCTCTTTGTTTTGGTTAATGTCTCTTTTGCTGCATAGCAGCTTTTAAATTTGATGTAGTCCCAGCTATTCATCTTTTCCTTCACTTTCTTTGCTTTGGGGGATGTATCTTTAAAGATGTTACTGAGAAGTATGTCATGTAGTTTTTTGCCTATATTTTCTTCTATATATTTTATGGTTTCAGGTCTTATGTCCAAGTCCTTTACCCATTTTGAGTTGGTTTTTGTGCAAGGTATAGGTAGTAGCCTAGCTTCATTTTTTGCATAAAGCAGTTCAGTTTTCCCAGCATCATTTATTGAACAAATTGTCCTTGTTCCTTTGCTTACTCTGTGCACCATTGTCATAGATTAGTTGCCCATAAATATGTGGGTTTTTTCCTGGGTTTTCTATTCAATTCCATTGGCCTGTGTGTCTGTTTTTGTTCCAATACCATACAGTTTTAATTATTATGGCTTTGTAGTATAGTTTGAAGCCTGGGTGTGTGACACAATTCTACATCTTTTTGGTCAGGAGAGCTTTGGCTATATGAGGTTTTTTGTGGTTCCATATGAATTTCATCAGTATTTGTTCTATCTCTTTGAAGATTGTCATTGAATTTTTTTTTAAAGTCATTAGCTTTTGATGTCAAACCCTTTATTTTTTTTTTAAGATTTATTTATTTATACATGCAAGTTCTGGGCAATAGGCCAGAGGTGTGGGGGGTGAGAGGATTCACCAGAGACAGAGTGGGGAACAGAATAGGCAGACTGACAGAAATACACTGCTGAGGGGAGCAGCAGGTGAAACAGAAGAGGTCTGCTTTACCATGTGGGTTACTCCCTGGCTGGCCGGGAATCGAACTCATGCTGCAGAGGCTGTGGACTGCCTCACAGAGCGGTGCTTAACCCCGTGCACCATCAGGGAGGCCCCTGTCATTGAAATTTTTATTGGAATAGCATTGAATCTTTAAATTGCTTTTGGTAGGGTGGCCATTTTGATAGCTAATTCTTCCAATCCATGAGCCGGGGATGTCTTTCCATTTCTTTGTGTCTTCTTCTATTTCTTTTGTTTTTTTAAAGATTTATTTATCTATACAAGAACAGGGGTATAGACCACAGGCATGGGAGGGTGAGAGAATTCATCAGAGACAGAGTGGGGAGCAAACCAGGTAGATGGACCGAAAACACTGCTGAGGGGAGCAGCAGGCGAGACAGGAGAGGTCTGCCTCGCCATGTGGGTATCTCCCTGGTGGGCCGGGAATCAAACCCGCGCTCAACCCACTGTGCTACCAGGGAGGCCCCCCTTCTATTTCTTTTAAAAACATTTTATAATTTTCTTTGTATAGGTCCTTCACCTATCCAAAAGCAAATTTTAATGAGATGAAAGGTAAAACAATATTTTTAGTAGTCAATTGCTAAGAATGTTTTAGAATTTAAAAATCCTCAGATTGAAAGGGTGCTTACCAAATAAGTATCAAAAAGAAAAGCAGTAACAACAAAACACTCACATCGAATATACGAATACATCCTTCAGTCATCGGGTGCTTACTGAGCATTTTTATGTGACAGATACCATCCTAGGGACTAATACTGTAGCTAAGATAATAAATCAAGTGACCATTTCATGGAATTAACATTCTAGTTCATGGATACTGAAAATAAATAATACATAAATAAATACAAAGTGTGTTGGCTGATTATAAGTATAATAAGCAATAACCTAGTCCCACAGAACTGGAGAGCAAAGGGGGGTGGCTGTTATTTTATATAGGACAATGAACAAAAATGTTCTCTAAGATGTTATCTGATCAGAGACTTCAAGGAAAACCATGCAAGTCATGGAAAGCTCGGGCCACAGGACTAGCAGGCAGTGCAAGGTCACTAAGGCAAGAGCACAATTTGTGCATTCAAAGAACAACAAAGAAGTAAATGCATCTCCCCTCGTGGCAGATGAGGACACAGTTTAGCAGGAATACAGGAATATATGACCTTGTAAGTCAAATGAACTTTGGATCTGACTCTCAGTGATAGGGGAAGACAGAGGATCATTATTGAACAGAGAAATAACATATTACAATTTAATATTTAATAATGTATTATAAATTAATATATCATACTAACTCAGGTCGAGGGGAGATACTAGGGGTCTGGGGTAGAAGGAAAGAAACTAACTAGGAGGCAAAAGCAGAGTCCCTGTGAGAAATAAAGATGAACTGGACAAGAAA